TTCAGCGTCAGCCCAACAATTGAAGCAGAGATGGAGAATAAAGGAGTGTGATGTTGATATCTTTGTCCAGCCCAAGAAGAAAAAGAAGCCTAAGCCTCAGCCAGAGGCCTCGGCAGAGCCTGCCCCGCCAGAGGCCACAATGCCCGAGGAAGACAAGGACGAGATGAATGGCTTCCACGCCAACGGTTCCACGATGGACGGGGAGTCGCTGGACTCTCTGAGTGAGCAGCTGGACTCTGCTTCTTTGGATGCAGCTGAGCTAGACTCTGAACCCGCTACGTCCGAAACCACAGGTAAATGCTGCTAAAATCATCAGGGAGGTTTTAAAGCATTGTAAGAAACCTAGGAATGGCTAAATATTTCACTTTTTTTAATTATTTGTTTATTTTTCTTTATTAAAATATTTTTTTATTCTTTTTTTTTTTCTTTTTTATGGAATGAGAGCAGATTGCCTCTAAACCTTTTCTAAAAATAAAGGAGGAACTGAAGAAAAAATACTTCAGAAAGAAGCATCAGTCCAGATCAAGCATCACATTATGGATGACTTTCTGACCGTGTTTTTTTTATTGTATTTATTTTTTAATGTCTCCTCACAGGTGCAGAGGCAGAGAGTCAGGGAAGCGCACCAAGTCCCGCCTCCCAGAAGGGAGGGCGGAATCACCAGGGTCCAAGAGGAAACAAGTCCAGACACAGGCCGGGCTCTAATTCACATCCCCATATCTCCTCATTAGCATCCACCACCAACGAGCAGGGGTCATCAGGGGCAAAGAAGATGGGTTAGACACGTCTCTTACCTCCCTTTTTATTTTTTATAGTTTACAGTAAACGTGCAGTAGAGTAGTGATTTTCTTAGTCACACCCTGTGCAGCAGTTCTCTTCAAAAGTTGCCCTCTAACGTCTCCTCCCCAGCTCCCAACATCGACCGCTCTGTGAAGGACCTGCAGAGGTGCACCGCCTCCCTGACCCGCTACAGGATGGTGGTGAAGGAAGAAATGGACTCCTCCATCAAGAGGATGAAGCAGACGTTTGCCGAGCTCCAGAGCTGGTACGTTGGGTTTTAAATGCTCGGAACATGGCCGAAAAGGAGTTTTAAAGCAGCTGCATGTGAGAGGGCTCAGCAGCACACGGTAGAGACTCTATCTCACACACCAGCATCGATTAGTTTCAGCTTCCTGAAAAGAAACAAAGCAATGGTCCTTTTTTATTTTTGAAAACGCACCTTTAAGCTCCACTGTTCAGACGTTTCAATTTGATTTGTGAGGTTGGCCGAGGCTTCGGCTGAGCAGCTGATGTGCCAGAGGGTTACAAAGAGTCAACACCTGAGGAGCGTTGAACAAAGCCTTACTGTGAACTACACAAAGCCTGTGCAAGCCCTCAGAAACGGCAAATGTGCTGTGCATGCATCCACAATACCGCTGCCGCGGCCTTCTCTATCAAAGTCTCAGCAGCAGATGTGACGTCTCAAACTCTAAACAAACTTCTCTTGTCTTGGGGTCAAAGGTCAGTCAGCGAGCCTGCTCAATGCACCGTTCAACAAACTGTCCAGGTCCTGAAATTGCCCACATTTTCACTTCAAGCCATTGGCCCTCAGTATTCTGAATACCAGGGGAACTCCCCTCTTTCCTTATCATGACCCTGCTTATGGGCCAGATGGTAGAAAAAGATAACTGTCTTTAATCTGGGCCTTTTCAAGCCTCGTCCGGTTAGATTAATTAAGAAATGATGCCAAAGGAGAAGTTCCTGAACTTAATGACCTGCTGATAACAGTTTT